GACATATTTAGTTAATAATCGGCGCTAGATGAAAGTTACGATAAAACAGTCGGTTCCCACCATTGTGCACGCCCTTTGACGTTGAGGTAGTTTCTCACTAGTCTAACTTGCTCTAAACTACAAACTGTTGGTCCTCAGTGCAGGTATAGTGGTCTTGAAACACACATCATTTATGGAATTATGGTAGATTCTCACTAGTCGGCTAAACTCCAAAAGGTTGGTGGTTCTCAGCGTGGCATCCTTTGTAATATATTCTCAACAACTTTAACGGTCATGGTTCTCAGCGTAGATATAAGCACGTTTGAAAATCCCCAACGGTTAGTTGTGGATTAAGAAATACAACTAGCTGAAAAAAAAGGGGTTTTACGCATTGAAGACAACGACGTCAGGATGACGGCTAAACAAACCCAGCTTACAAACCCTTTGAAACACATGAATGGAATAGTTCTCTAGTCTTGCATTTACTTTCGTATGAACTTAATACAGTTGCGAACAAGTATCAAAACAGAGCTTTAACCTTCCGAGAAATATTCAGATCAACTCTGCTAGAAAACAGATTGCCTGTCACGGCTTGAAATGCTAGCATACTTTACGAGGCGTGAAAATATGCATTTTGCCGTTGTCAACAGCGCTTCGACAGCGTCTAAAACCCCTGCTAGACTTCTAACTATTCATTTCTTTTGTGCTATAGCCGGGATTAATGTCATTGTATTGATATAGCCGTTGTCCTGACTTCGCCGTCTTACATGCGTAAACTCCCTAACTTTCCAACGCAGGGTCCTTCGCTTGAAACGACGAAGGTGTATTGTTCAGGTAGAGATTTATATCTCTTAATCCACAGCTGTCGTTGGAAATTCCTTCTGCATTTCCAATCGGATGTACGCGAAACAAGCCTCGAGTTTTTCGGTTAACTCCGTCCCCCATGAGACCAGATGAATTCTAAATCGTATACTCAGTCAAGTCCATGATGCATCAAAGCGCGGATGAAACGAGTATATCAAAGATATGAGAGTTGGCAACCGCGCGACCTAGGTTAGCTGTTCTTAATGTTTTTGGCCAACACTATCATGTATTGTATTTAAGATAAAACATAGCTGGAATACTACTCAAACCTTTATTTTGTTCATCTCTTCAAATGTTCCCTATGGCAATTCGTGCTTGCCAATTCACTTATTCACATGCTCGTTTTTTGAGCGGCGCTTAATTTAGAAATTCGTATCAAAATTGATTCGTTGCTTACCTGCAAAGACGAAGACGGCGAATGGTATCTTCATGATGAGCGCCTAAAACGAACACAAAGTACTGTGAGGAACTCCCACTCAATTCTGCTCAGAAACGAGAAGGTAATATACTCACCAAAGATTGACGAATGTCAAGTCAAACAGAACGCGTCACAGTCATAAGCCCTCTTCAATCAAGGTTTCAAATTTCAAATCAACCTTGTTGACCTATTCAGGCATTGTATATATTATTCTGATGTTATAGCATGTGAACCGCTAATATTACAGTTCCGATATGTAAATTTTGATCGATAAGGCATATCTCTTTAGGGCCAATACAGTAGCCAACATTTTTCTGGAATTTAGTTGTATTGCGAGCCAAATCAACAGAATCTCAAACGGCTTTCGCATGTCATTGTAGTCTGGTGTAGGTAGGCTTGAAAAATACAAGGCAGAACTTCGTCTGGAAGTCAGTAGCGATAGCTTTTCAATAGCAATAGCCAAACAAGGCCGTTGGAAGTAAGTAAATCAATATTGGGGGGTCAAAAAAGATCTGGATGAATCTGAATTGCTTTCGCACTTTCCTAGTTTTTTTTGTGTATTTTGCTTATATATACAAATGGAATTTTGCCCCCGACGGCTTTGCCAAATCAACAGCTTTTTGTTATGCAGTATAGCTATAGGACTTTGTGATCACAATAGGAATTTGCATAAGTAATTCTATTGTCTGAAGGATTTGTAAGAAATGTTTGAGGGGACTGACTTAAGGTGGCTCCCTACAGTTTACTAGAAAATGGAAGATTTCCGATTTAGACCCAATTTCCCAACAATTCCTGTATGTTAAAAGACAAAGAAGGTCCGATTAGAGAGTTGGATTTTTTTTGAAAAAAATGGAATCACAATTGCCATTGCTATGGCAACAATAACTGCCATATTGAAACCTCATTGCTGCCATAGCAACAGCTGTTAGCCTTGTATTCAAGTCAGATACTCTTTGTTTTTCAACAAATAATTATTGTCCAGAAATTCATGTCCAAATCAGAAAATCATGCATTTCAGTAAAAAGTGTAGGTAGCCACCTTAATTAAGCCCATTTTCCACCAGGCAAATTTGTTCGCGCAAACGGGCCCAACTTTTTCGCGGCGAATTTTTTCCCTGGCCAATCACATTGCCAAGATTTGTTTTTGGCTTCGCTTCGCGCACACAAAAATTCACCTAGTGGAAAATGGGCTTTTGTGTTTAACACTCAAAGACTATCAACCCTTTAAGTGGCAATATACTCTGATGTACCCTACTGTAGTTTGTTACTCTGTCTGATGCCAGACAATTTTAGTTGTCAGGGAAAAGATGCTGCTCAATGGTTAAGTTCACCTGCCAAAACCAAAACAATTAAACAATAAACTTGCTAAACAAACAGGTTTACTGTACATATAGTTTATGCATTCTCATCTACACAATACTAAGTCTAAAGTTTAAGTCGAGGTCTTTTTTATAAGTCAGAATATTTCTTAGATTTCATTTTAACTCTTCAATTGCCTCATCTATTTTGGCAATATGTTCTTTCAGAGCTTCCCATTGGTCGACCTGCAGAGATATACCTAAAAATAGATTATGACATATCTTACTAGTCAGTGACAAGGATTAGGAATTAGGGTATTATGATAATGCTTAGGATTATTGTTAAGCCCAGATCAAACCAAGATCAGATTAGATTTAGGATTAAGGTTAGGTTTAGTATTGCAATGGTTACAAACTGACTCAATTTATTTATAGTGAGAATATTGTTAGATTTATTTTTACCCTTTTTTCCAGGCTTCATGTTGCCTGCGTCATCCTCGTAATATTCTCGAATGTCAATCAAAACTTTCCCTTTGAACTCTCGAACATTCACATTTCTTTTCTTTCCAATCTAAAAGAGTTCATTTACTTAATACTGCTGTCAATTGCATGGTATTCATTTGGTTGTGACTGTCATGAACAGGTTATGTTAATCAAATATAAATTAGTTTGGATCTATCTTGTCTATTTTTACTGATTGCAAAGACATATTGACATAACCAAAGACCAAATAGGAAACTAAGTTCACAATTCCACAGACAAAAATACTGTCTATTCCCATGTGAAACTTCAGTAATTGAACACAACACCTGATGGCTTCATGTGAGCATAAACAATATTTTTATCTACAGAGATGACTCAACAACATGCTTGACACATTTGTTTGTTAGAAAATGAATAAAAATAAAGCAACCTGAAACAAATGTTCTCCTTCATTATTTTTTCCGGATTCTTTCTCTTTGGCCTTCTTTTTTGCTTCTTTCTTTGCAATTTTCTTTCTGGCCTGTAATTATTATCAAAATATGAATTTATTGGTCGATTTCAATATGCAAAACCACAAGTTGTGACAAACCTGCAGCAGATTTGTAGCAATGCTGTTCCAACAACTTGTCAACACGATGTGTTCCCACTGCTTGATCCCAGCTTGTTGACAAGTTGTCAATGGCTTTATGACAACGTGCTACAATGTTGTTGAGCTCAACAGACTTGTTACAAGTTGTTCCAACAACTTGTTATCGTCCTGCAATTCATCAGTTTTGACAACCTTGTAGCAACTTGAATATAACAGCATTGTTACAACTTGTTGACAAGTTTGCTACAAGCCTGTTGCAAACACATCTTGTTGACAAGTTGTCAATGGCTTTATGACAACTTGCTACAAGGTTGTTGAGCTCAACAGGCTTGTTACAAGTTGTTCCAACAACTTGTTATCGTCCGTCCTGCAATTCAACAATTTGGCAGCAATTTGCGAGTGACAACCTTGTAGCAACTTGATAAAATATTAACAGCATTGTTACAACTTGTTGACAAGCTTGCTACAAGCCTGTTGTGAACACATCTTGTTGACAAGTTTTTACGTGTGTATATATTTGCCTCCAAGACATAATGAAAAGAATGAACATTATATTTATCTGCATGAAAACTGCAGGTTGAACACCATCTGCTGCACGATACCCTGGAACTATAAAGATATAAAATCGACAAAATAAACATATTTTTCTAACCTCGGCGTCCGAATCGTCGCTACTGCTTGCTTCGTCCTTCTCTGCTTTCCTTTTAGAAGACATATTTATCTCAAAAACGCAAAGATTCGCTTCGAAAAAGACTTAATAAAACTCGCAAATAATGTTGCTGTTGTTTAAATGCCCCACGTGCAAAAAATTGCGCCAAATTTATTTCGCTAGTACTCAGTCTATCATGGCCGCGTAGATAACTCTGGGGCAATCAAAATCATAATGGACCTTTTCGCCCTCAGCCAGTTTCGGAATCGCATTGCATTGTGGTCCACCATCAAATTTTGTCTCTAAATTGTTATACAAAATTAACTTTAACAAAGCGAAAGCATTAATATTAATAGCATGAGCGGCCGTGTCGTGTTCGGGGAAACCGGTAATTATGTTAGCCTCGTTAAATAAAGTATTATTATTATTATTGTATCAGATATACAAACTCGAGTCGAAGGCGAGAGGCGACTCGAGTTGTAACTCCTTCACGCTCATGATTTCTTTTGTGTTTTCTTCACGAATTATTAATCAGTTTCACAAGGGTGCCATATACCAGCTCAACCTTGCTGCCCTCACCTTCTCCGCAAAACTTCTACCATTCTGATTTCATCAATCATCATTCCTTTAATCTCTACTCTTATAAAGAATGAAGACGTGAAAGAAGCAAGCTTATGGACACGTAATAATAAATGAAGGAGAGCTGGTCAGAGACAGTATGGAATGAAGATCAGAAGACAGGGGCGTAGGAAGCTTCGAAGGGGGTGGGGGGTAGGTCATCTCAAATAAATTTCCCGGATATACCACATTTTTTCCTAAATACGAAAAAAATTTTCCGGAGACATTATGGAATGAAGATCAGAAGATGTGGTGTGATAGACATTGCAGAGAAGACGAGGGAAGCAAAATTGAGATGGTATGGACACGTAAGAAGAAGAGATGAAGAAGAGCTGGTCAGAGACACACAGAGATAAAACAGTCACTACCACAGAAAGTCAATAGTTGAAAGTCAATAGTTTCTTTTTACATTTGCAAGAACGATGCATCTAACTGTTCAGCTAACATTATAAATATTTTGGATTAGCTTTAACTCCCTTTACATATAAATATAAATTTAAAATCTTAACCACGAAAACTGTGTTCGTTTTCATTGAAAATAACTACAAGTCTACCGTAGATGGTCAAAAATGTACAAGAACAAGTAAAAGTTACTTGTTGTGAAAAGTTTAAGCGTTTTTTTCACGTTTAACGTTGTGGCTTTGGAGTCTGTACAATGGAGAACAATGTAAATGATCTTTTCAATTTGATTTTCTCAGCACCATTGGGCTTCTTCGCTGCATCATCGTACCATCTTCGCTCCTGCATCGTGGCATATTCGTAGTAACTCGTACTCACGCATACCAGGATATTAATCAGCTGATTTAAGTCATGGTAGCCATTTATCAACCATGAACCACCCTAATACATGACCTCATATAACGTTGCCTTTTTGTCGCCTGACCCTGTGACAATGTATTTATCGTCCGTCGAGATGTCACAGCTCAAAACTGACGACGACTCTTTGCTCTAAACAAATTCAAAAACAAAACTATATTGCTGCACTTCATGGTAATTTTTCAAGTCACATTTCGTAAACTCGAAGGCTGTTTAATTTATTCTCAAAGTATGCTGAAAACTTGGACATTTCTCAGTGTTTGAAATCATTAAAACAAACTTGTTTTCGATTAAGATATATTACTTCAAAGGCTTGATAAACATTTTCAAAGGCCATACCTGGAATATGCTCGCGCCATAAGGCGTTCTCCACGCGTTTAGTAAATTATCTTTCCCTGTACTGATGAACCACTTTCCTGACGACGCAAACTTCAGAGCTAAAACACAACTCTCGTGAAGGTGTAGTTGGTATTTGCTCGGTTTGGTCTGATGCAAAACTTCAACGTAACTGTTCTCCATACTAGAGTGAAAAACATTATGACGGAGTTAAGCATGGTTAGATCATGCAGAGGTAGTACATGTTCTTGAATGTGAGCTACCCTAAAGTGATCTGATGTTGTACAGAACTCACTGCTGAGTTAAGCATGGTTAGATCATATAGAGGTAGTACATGTTTTTGAATGTGAGATACCCTAAAGTGATCTGATGTTGTACAGAACTCACTGCTGAGTTAAGCATGGTTGCATCATGCAGAGGTGGTACATGTTCTTGAATGTGAGCTACCTTAAAGTGATCTCATGTTGTACATAACTCACTGCTGAGTTAAGCATGGTTAGATCATGCAGAGGTAGTACATGTTCTTGAATGTGAGCTACCCTAAAGCGATCTTGAGAATTCACGTGGTATACTCACCCCACAGCTAACCAGTCTCCAGATGGACAATATCCAAGTGAAAATATTTGTGAACTAAAGTCGTGTTGCTGTAACTGTCTGCCTTCCCGTAGATCCCAAGAACGAACAGTGTTATCTAATCCTCCTGAAGTAGTGACAGAAATATTAGTCCATGATGGTATTGGTAATGATGGTGGTGGTGGTAATGATGATGGTGGTGATGATGATGAATTCATGGTGGTTATGATGTGGTGATGGTAATGGTGATGATGGTAGCGGTGATGATGGTATTGGTAATGATGGTGATGGTGGCAATGATTATGATGATGGTGGTGATGATGGTTATGAATTCATGATGGTAGTCATGTGGTGATGGTAATGATGGTGATGGTAGTGGTGATGATGGTAGTGGTGATGGGCTCATGATGATGGTTGGTGGTGATGATGGTAGTTATGGAAATATTGTTTCTGTTATAATAATATTTACTCCCCCCCTACCTGTCCATAACTTTGTTCCATCGGGAGAAATATCAATACAACTGGCGCCATCAGTGTGTCCTTGAAATTGCCGTACTAAAGACTGATTATGCAAGTCCCACACGGCAATATTTCCATCACTGCAGCAACTAAAGCATACTTTAGAGTCCGGACTAATGGCCAACGCATAACATGCTGGCGCATTAGACGTAAGTTCATTTTTAATTCGAGGTGTAGATGACGCGAGATCCCATATTGTTAATGTACTTGCTTCGCCACCCACTATTAATGTTCTTCCATCTGGCAGCAACTTGCAAGACCTGATGTAGTTCTCTCTCTACAGAAATGAACGATTTTATTATTTATACATTACGTCTACGTTACAATAGCAAACTTCAAATTGCATTTGAAAGCAAGTTCTACAGGTTTTTGACAGCTCAGCTAACAATTGGCCTTAAGGTGTCTATTGTACAATAGACTTACGCATAATGACGTCACAAGGCTTGATACTCGCGAGGAATGCTGGTCTTGGTAGTCATTGCCCGGGAAAATTAAACAATTCAAAATGGCCACTATCGAAATTTTCCCGGGCGATGACTACTAAGACCAGCATTCCTCGCGGGCATCAAGCCTTGTGACGTCATTATGCATAAGGTCTATTCACGAATAATTCATAAAGAAAACACACAGGAAATCATGACCGTCAAGGAGCTTGTATCGTGGTGATTTACGTAAACTTTAAGTCAATTTTTCTCACCAAAGATCATTCGTGTCTTTAAGATTATTGAAGACGAATCACAAGCTATATACAGCATTCGCAATCGTATCGTACAAAATACCCAGCCACTGGTCTATATCTTATACAACATGGCGGCTCATGCTTTACGACTTCCGAATATTTTATTATTTTAAACCTACCAAACACTCTAAAGTTGAAATAGGCGTTTTTCCTGATACTTGTTCGATATCCCACACTTTTACACAACCCTACATAGAGAAATTTAACATTAATACGTTACATGGGCGGATTTACTGGGGTTAGGAGGGATTAAATCCCCCCTAGAATCTCTCTAACCCCTCTTATAAAGTGTTCAACCTCACCAAAATTTCGCTTCACCCCTCCTATTTTTATATGAAAGTCTTTAACCCTAACGCCTAACCCCTGCCGAAGCTCCCTCAGTGGTGCTGCTTGCACCCCACTAGAAATTTTCCAACCCCTCCTTTAAAGATATGAAAATCCACCCTTGGTACGTTATAAGGGACTGGTCATAAAGTAACTGCTAGAGTGGGCTGGAGGTATATCACAAATTTTGCCAATAAGTTTGGTGACCCATCTTAGGATGTACATAAAAATTTCAAAGCCCATCTAATCTTACCAAATTTATTTCATGACCCACCCCAACCCAATTTAAATTGGGAAAATACACGTGCAGGTATGAACATTGTAAATATACACCGGCACTGCATTGACATACATAATTCCACCAAGCTTGACTGACCAACACACAATCAACACCAATTACGATACTGAGCTGCTCTCCAGTTGGTTGTATTTGCTGTGATTCGATCACTTCTTGTTCTTGTATAAACTGACAAAGTACTGGCTTCAATAGCATCATTTGCATTTGATAATTTGGATAGTTTTGTTTACTTTTATTATTAATATCCTTATTTTTTGAAGTCGACATGGGTTTTTGTTTGGTGACCCAACCGTGGACATACAAAAAAATTGACGACCCATCCCAACGGCCCAAAGATTTTCCATGGCCCATCCCAAATCACTCCAGTCCACCCTAGCAGTTACTTTATGACCGGTCCCTAAAACCAAACACACGACAACTGGACGTGCGGTACTCCATAGTAACGACACCCACCTTGCCTCCTGTATAAACATGACGTGTGGGATGACTGATCGTCACAGCACAGACAACCTCGCCATGGTTTAATGTATTCACTTGTCTCGCATGACGTGGTATGTTCGAACCCATGAGCGCGTCCGGGGGGAATGGTACGGGCTGTGTCTGACCATCGCTGACAATATACGAGTATGTAGGTTTTCCATTCGCGATGCTGGGCATGCCCGGAGAATGTGTCATTCGACTTGAGCTATCCATTGGGGATGCAATCTAAAATAATTTTTAAAACTCATTAATAATTGATGGGGAAAAGACATGTCGCTGGTTTTATATGTGATAAAAAATCATGTTCAATTACATGAAATTTAGCTTTTATTTTCTCAACTTAGACAACGTTTAGTTTTAAAATTACTTCGCCAGTGAACTCATTAGATGTGTGGTTTTTTAAGCCATTTAAAACACTCGCAGTTCGTGCTTTATACAGATATAAACCACTCGAGCTGCGCTCTCGTGTTTTATATCTGATAAAGCACTCCTGTTCGTGTTTTAAATAGTACATAACATTTAGTGTAAGGACTTACCATTCCTGGTCTGTATGAGATGCCTAAAAGCAAATTAAAAATAACAATGAGCATTTTGAGCCATTTGAGCTATTGAGCCAACAAAACGAACCAGTCAACAAATGTTTATGATATATTTTGATAACAAACAAATGTTGTCTCACAGTGAGCCAGAGTAAATAAAGTAATTTAATCTGAATGAACAAACACTGGGAGACATTGTTTTAGTCCTACTCCGACGAGAGTTTGTGGTAAATACAAACAAACTTTCTTTAAAAATAGGACAGAATGTGGTGATGGTGGTGGTGATGACGACGATGATCATCACAGTAGTAGTGATGGTGGTGATGATGAAGATGGTGATGATCATAGCGATGGTCATAGTCATAGTGACAGTGATGGTCAGTGACGTGAAAATGTTCAATATAATAAACCTTACCTGGCGACATTGATTGTTGTAACATAGGAGGGTACGAGCTTCCACCAATATCGCTAAAAGAAAGGATGTTTTAATTACTCCACACTATACTGTTTACTAGCTCTAGACGTTTGACCAAAATTTTTCTACTTTACTTACTTGCTGCCGTGACTCATCATGGGGTAAGGACCTGACGTACTTCTTACTGACGACGGCGCCACACCACGACCTGGACTTGACGAAGAACCAGAGGACCCAGACTGTGACGTGGGCTTCTTGTCATTTAACTGAAAACGAAGATCATAGCATATAGCTTCAAGAGTACGAAAGTTGATGAGAGTTTGCATGAGAGTTGAGAAGCGAGAGTTTGCATGAGAGTTTTCTCAACTCTCGTGTCGGTCAAACGAAAACAAGAGTTGCATGAGAGTTGATGAGAGTTGACTGGATATTACCGCGCGATAGAGAAAACTCATCAAAATTTGAATCAGTTCAAAGTCAATGAGAATTGACGAGAGTGCTGAGAGTCAACGAGAGTTCCAACTGTCATCAATTCTCATCCTCATTTAACCCGGGCTTAAGAACTGAATAGTTTATGTCCACAACAATTATCAATTATACAAATGTCTTAAGTTCTGTACAACGTACTTTATGTTTCGAGGAAGGAGTTGACGAGTTTGATGAGACACTGTGTGGACTACCGCCATCTTTTTTCGGTTTCTTCTCGTGTATCGGTGAATCACGGTCGCCATTTTGTATCCCGGGTGGTGATGACGCATCCTACATAGTACAAGAAAGACATAGGTATAGTATTTATTCTGCTTACATCTGCTTAACTTTATTCTGTGACTGAGTGCTTCATCAAGTCTTTATTATCAAAGCTAGACAAAACGCTTAAGTACCTCGTCTACGACCAACTCAGCATCGCTCTTGTCTCCATCACTTTCCTGAAGTAAACAAATAATCATAGTCAGATCGTAATGATAATATGCAGGAATATTTACACCACTTCTCTCAAAAAACTTACTCTGTCGGAATCTTTATGGACACGTGCTCGTTTCGTGTTTGACGACGATCCTGAAGAAAGGATTTTTAGTTAAAAGAATTATCCCGTACAAATAAAGTTAGTTGAGTGCAGTAGAATTGTCTCGTATTTTACCTTTCCCGTCATCACTGTCATGCGACGAATGATCAGATGGTCGAAATTTTTCTGCCCTTGAAGATGAGCCGAGAGGCGAGATTGAATGCTGTAATATACGAGGAAAAACATGTTTAACACCTGCTTCCCTTTAACTAACAAACCTCAAATAACGGTTGGATGGACGTTTTCAACCATACTCTTACAAACAACTTACCGGATGATCTGATGGTCATAATCAACAACAAGCAGGAACAAATATGTAAGAAATAAAAAAAAGAAGTTAAGAACATATGGAAAAGTATTTCCCTTGAACTGTTAGTTCTATTGAGCGAGATGCCTTGAGAATCTTGATATTCACCCACACCATAATGAAATGCCACCCTGTGTAAGCAAAGCACCGTTTTGTGTCATCATGCGACCTGTATAAGCGACTGACCTTTTTCATCCTTGATTCCTGGTACAAGAGACATGTTGTGTGAAGGCATGATGCCGGATATGCCAGATAGTTCAATCACACCGGCCATACCGGGGGGCAGGTGTGGCGGGTGTCCTCCATGAGGAAGTGAGATTGGTGGCGCATGAATGTGAGGCAGACCTTGTTGATGTAGTTGTTGTTGCTGGAACATAAAAAAATACAAAAATAAAATTAGATGTTGCTCGTACAAGGGAAGGCATTTACACCAAACCTTTCAAAATTGCTACAGCTATCCAGTTTTAATGGAAGGCCTTCATTGTACCGCTATAGGAAGAACAACTAAGTATATAAACGTGTTTATTGATGCCAATAACGGTCATATATAAACACTCTACCCAAAATGAATCTAGACTAAACTTTGTCTCTAACTAAACGAGTATATGAACGTGTTGATTCATACCAAAAACAGTTAAACATCCAAAATTATTTCGGATACTTACTCCTATAATGGCATTTAATTCAGTCATTGTGACTTGTTTTGCTCGTTCCACAGCGGCAGCAACTTGTTGTTGATGCTAGAAGTAAAAAAATAGAAACTTAGGACTGGAACAAAGCATCTTTACCCAAATAGGGCCCACGTGTAAACCTTGAGGTACACCAAATAAAGACTAGAAAGTTAAGTCACTCACCTCTTGCGATAAAAATGGTATGATTTGGGCACAGATTGCATTCAGACGTTTCGCTATTTCAGTCTACAAAATAATTGAAAACATTTAGAGAAATTATTTATAGCGAAAAATTATAGTTTGGTAACTGCATGATGGGAAATATTAAACGATAAAATACCTAATTGTAACTTGCAAATGTGGCACTATTATGGAAATAGGTAGGTTTTTACTAAGGTATATCGTGCAGGCAGATGGTGGTCAAATTGCAATTTCTCAGTGTGAGAAAATAGTGTTTATTCGTTTTATGATATATACTACATGTAGCTTTGTATTTGGAAGTGTCAGTGTGAACATTCAATCTGCTGCCCCGTGATGCGGCGATGCGCTTACTGCCCCCCCCCCCCCCCCCAATATTCCAATGTATAACCACATTATGTATACTCCGTCATTAAATTTGCGATGAGTACTGATAACGCAATATGTCTGATCTATTTTTGAATTCTTCTTAAAAAAAGCCATGATTAACATTCCATATCTGTAAATCTTGTTTTCACCCGAACAGGAAACATTAGCAAATATTTAAGTTGATAATTTAATACGGCTCCCTAGGGATATTTTTAATATCCTTTCAAATATTCCTTTTGATGACAAGTTTATTTACAGAATTCGTATTAGCAATTTTTTTCACATGCGAAGTGAATTCTTTGTAGTAAGATTACTAACACATTAGTAGAATAATCCAGATTTCAAGATAGGGGGGAGGAGGGAGCCAATGAATTAACCTCTTGGAAATACGCGTTTTCTGGTACTCATACCTCGTTATCATTGTTCTAGTTTACAGAAGTATAGAACCAAGCCAAGGTAACTAAGTTTTACAATTATCTACACGAATGAGTAACTCTTATACATAATTCTAATGCTTAGTTACCTTGGTTCTATTCTACCTGCACATCGCGTCTACCCAATAGACCTTTCCCCCTACGAGTGAAATTTTGATCTAGACAAGTCTGGACAAAAATTTCATCACGGCTTGAAAGAGCATCACAAAATTAGTAATATTCCGACGTTTCGTTACGAAATGTTGTAAAATGCGGATAATATAGACTTGCGAAGTTTGCCGTTTTTCAGTCATTTTGTATTACAAATGGGAAATTGATAATCAGTTTGATCAAACTGATTATCAATTTCCCGTTTGTAATACAAAATGACTGAAAAACGGCAAACTTCGCAAGGCTATATTATTCGCATTTTATAACATTTCGCAACGAAACTTCGGAATATTACTAATTTTGCGATGCTCTTTCAAGCGGTGAATTTTTTGTCCAGACTTGTCTAGATCAAATCATCTAGGTCTATTCACAAGTGTAGATAACTCACAAGCCTAGTTACTATTGTTCTATTCTACAGAAGCATACAGGGTGTCCCCCAAAACTATCGAAATAACGTATTGTTAGAATTTGAATGCCCTAGCACAAAGGTGAACGCAAAGATGCCTAAAATTGACAGGATGCATATATTATAAATATTGACTTATTAAGAAATTAAAATATCTTTGTAAAGTGCGCAATTTTCTGCTCTTGGAAATTTACAGCAGCATCTTAAAACAGTTTCTTTATGTATATAAAATGTAATTATGTCGAGCTTTTGTGCACTTGTGGGTCCAACAGAGTGCTGAGGCATTCAAATTCTAACAATTTATTATTTCAATAGTTTTGGGTTTTTTTGGGACACCCTGTAAATCTTTGTAAAGCGCGCGAATTTCTGCTCAAGAATTGGGAATTTAAAGCAGCTTCTTAAACAGTTTCTTTATGCATCAAATTTACTTATGTCAAGCTTTTATGCACTTATGGGATCAGCGGAGTGCTGAGGCATTCAAATTCTAATACGTCATTTCAATAGTTTTGGGTTTTTTTGGGACACCACGTTGGTCAAAATGTGTCTATTTGCCACCGATATAAAGGCGACCAGGCATTGTCTAACGCATGAAGTAGTAATTGAGCGAATAGTACTTATAAATAACAATACTAAAATACAAAACAATAGATACTCCGAAAATTGAAAGCATTTTGAATATTTATTTTTTAATTTTTATTTTTTTGATGACTATAGTTTAGTCGAAAAGTCGAAATAAATATTCAAAATGCTTTCAATTTTCGGAGTATCTATCGTGTTGTATTTTATCAAAATACTCAGTGGTTGCCGTAATTTATAACATTACTACGTTTCTACATTAACTCCTTCCAAGGCAAGGACTGGCCCGGCTGGCGTATTTAAAACAGTTCTAGAAGGTGAAGACAGAATCTCCATTGGACCATCTTCAATATTGCTGATAGCAACAAAATGCGGTTGATGTTTCTTATTATAGCTAGCTAATTTGTTTCATTTGGCATCTTGCCACGTCTTTATCAATGTTTCTCAATCGTATCATGTCTCAAGAGAACGGAATTCCTGAAGGTTTGTCAGTGAAACTTGGCTTAAATATCGTTGAGTGACAGGGTAATAAAAGACAAGATATGAGACCCTCAGATTTCAAGGTTAATAAAGTGCGTTATAACAAAGAGTAAATGATAATAAGCTGTTCAGTATTTTAGGAGCCTATTGACGCAATCCTCTTAAACCTCATTCCAACGCTATCTTGTGTATTGCGCTTATCAATCCATATACAGCCAAATTAGATATCTTACATTTTTCCTTTTTAAGGCCCTTATCACTTTTGATGCGTACAGATAAACGAGGAAGATATTTCTTTGTCACGCAGTAAATTGAGTACCAGAAGAAAACGGGTCGTGTTTGGTACGGTCAAACTGGAAAGACCCTCTTCACACATGCAACTTGAATGAAACTGTATACTGTAGGCAGGAATCACACCCAAGTCACAGGGTAAAAGGCAGTACGACATGCACTGTGCAATCAACACCCAAAATACGTTTGCTGTAACCTCCTTAAACTCTGAGTAAAGGCAGATTTTGTTCTCTTGAAAGTTGATTAGAGGAAACTAGACTTAGAAAATTTTCTGGCATGATTATACGCTCAATTAGGAGAGGAAAACCACAAGCTACACCCAGGATCAATCTATCATCAGTTATTTGGGTATATCCTCCAAAGATCAGACCTGCAGTGTTTGATAAGATGTTTCAATACAAGACTTAATGTCTCTCTAATCCACTTAATATAAACCTTAGAAGAATACTTTTCCTAGGAAGGCATGTTGTAAATCCAGGACTCTTGTCTGCTCTTGGGACTGGATTTAAGGCCTGGATTATAGTCTCTATGGTTCATAAATATGACCGATATTACTCGTGTACTACCCTAAGGGATAATCAATTCCGTGTCAAATATAAGATTAATCTGTCATCGCTATATTTATATATGTGGATGGTTACGCGGTGATGTGTTTAATAAAAGACGAATGGTTTAGAAGGGTTGGTCAGAGACATGATGGAATGAAGAGATCAAAAGATTATGTGGAGTGGTGGAGACATTACAGAGAAGGTGAGGCTTAGAAGCAAGGCTGAGATGATATGGACATGAAATAAGATGAAGGAGAGTTGATCACAGAGACAGTATGGAATGAAGAGATGAAAAGAAGATGCGCGATGGTAGAAATTGCAGAGAAGGTGAGGGAAGCACAACTGAGATTACATGGACATGTAATAAAAGAAGAGATTAATGAGAGCTGGTCAGAGACGTTGTGGAATAAAGGATCAAAAGATGTGGGGTGGTAAACATTACAGAGAAGGTGAGGGAAGCAAGACTAGGATGCTATGGACACGTAATAAGAGATGAAGGAGAGCTGGTCAGAGACGTTGTGGAATAAAGGATCAAAAGATGTGGGGTGGTAGACATTACAAAGAAGGTTAGGGAAGCAAGACTGGGATGCTATGGACACGTAATTAGAAGAGATGAAGGAGAGCTGGTCAGAGACATTATGGAATGAAGAGATCAGAAGATGTGGGGTGGTAGACATTGCAGAGAAGGTGAGGGAAGCAAGACTAGGATGCTATGGACACGTAATAAGAAGAGATCAAGGATAGCTGGTCAGAGACGTTGTGGAATAAAGGATCAAAAGATGTGGGGTGGTAGACATTGCAGAGAAGGTGAGGGAAGCAAGGTTGAGATGGTATGAACATGTAATAAGAAGAGATGAAGGAGAGCTGTTCAGATACATTATGGAATGAAGAGATCAGAAGATGTTGTGCAAAGCTGAGACAGTATGGCAGGTACGTATATACAGGTAGTAAGAAAAGATGAAGGAAAGTCAGTGCCAGAATATGTGGAGATGGTATGGAGATGAAGCATTTCATACGAAGAGAAGACTGTACAAAAGAATATCTGAATATCAAGGAACTGATGCTGGACATACAAGAGATAGAGAATGACAGAATCCAAGAAGATTTAAGCATAGTTCTGCATCCATAATCCAGTCCAGTTTTTATACTGTGCCATCCCAGCACTCAATTACTAAACACCCAGCCACCTTGAGTATTTGAGACTGTGTAATATATATTAATAACACCCAGCTATGGTGTGTAATAACAACAGGCAAGGCGGCAAACCTAGGCCGGAGGTCTTGCAAATGAAAACATTCGCATGGAACTGACGACAGGTCTAAACACAACGCCAAAGGTGTGAGGAACTTGGCTAATATAATTTCACTCATCACTCGTCGCCTTGCATTGAGATAATAAAATAAATAAAAGGAAAGCAATAGTCATGCGTCATCCGTAGATAATTGCGACGATACATTTTTGGAAACATTTTATCGTTGTTTTTATATTTGCCAGCAGTGGTCAACCAGCGGTTATCAGAGTGGGAAAATTTTCATCATATGTAGTAGTTTGGAGGCAAATAAATACAATTGCGAGAGTTTCCATAAGTGTCAAGAGTTCTGAAGTTGACCTGCATCAGACCATCATGCCCAAACACATACTGAAGCCCATTTTTAAAATTTCATTTATATAATTTATATATATGTCCTGCATATCCTCCACATGTAGTTGAAGCCTAAATATTATCGCAACGAAATTTAAATAAGCACCACGCCACGCAAGGCGGAAAATCAGATAATTCCTTATGTGAGTTATGTCTGCCCGCAATAAGGATGAATAAACATTCTATGTTAGCGAAGCCATGTAAAGAGCACAACACACAAGGGCCCTTGTTGGTCAAAAATGGTCTAAATGACAGGCTATTATATTTAATGACTTCATGAGCTATGAATAAACTGGGTCTAGATTGAAAGCAACTAATTTTCACGCGTCTTCATTTACAATATCTAAGAGAAACGCATTTGCAAAAGCTTGCGCGCAAGATAACCGCAATTTTCAGACAGCTCGAACCGTGTGTTGATAAAGTCATCAAGCCAAAAAATTTACATGTGAATGAGATGTACTTATCCACTTGTACCTGTGAGAGGGAGAACTGAATTCGGTATTGGCATTGAAAGAAGCCTGTATTGTGAAAGCGTCTGTGTATTATTAAAATTTACACAAGATTTCGCTGCCTATTCATTAAGGCATAAAAACAACATCATTCTTAAGCAAACACTCGAAGCTTTGCCTCTGTCAACGATAAACTAACACTAACTCAACTAAGCACACACACACACACTACACAGCCTACGTGTTATGAAAAAACATCGAAAATAGCGCCAAAAGTCAAGGCCAAAGGGTTCGAATCTCGGAGTCTCACTATGGTTCTACGTGATCAATATGCTTAATAAATACATCTTTCACATACACAAAAATAATTATCTGTACAGCTCTTGGTAACCAAATATTTTAAGAGGGCTTCTTTTGAGAGCTGATAAGTCGAATATACGACAAAACACTTCTGTCATCGAGTGCGCGACCACCAAAGTCGGTAGGAACAAAAAAGGAACTGTTTTGCTACAAATTTGCACCATTCCATGGGAGATTGTGACATTTTCGAATGTTTCTGATTAACTGATGGAACCGATTTCGAACGTTCGAACGGAACATTAAATTGAAATTACGAAATTCATCGATCGTTAACAACCGCGAGGCAATATTGATCCATTGACGGGTCATTTTAAGCGGAAATGGCTTTTTCCTCTCAAAAACAACAAAGCACAAAACATTCATTATATGTTTGCCGCATCATTAACGTGCCATGCATTTGAAATAATAACAATCATATGATATATGAATAAGCAAATGGAATGGACAAAGATATACTGTAGGCAAATTATATTATACATACTTGTTTATGCATCTCGACGTTCAAACCGTAGGACATTTCGTAATACTAAACATGGGAAAAACGCAGATTAAGACAAACAATAATGCGGCTTTACACCTCGGACGACATATGCCTAGCGACTCAATTCACACAAAACACAGAAACCGCACCACCGTAGCCACAAACCTAATATTATCGGGGAAAGTTATAAATAACCGCGGCATACAACTGCAACAAAATGTGTTTTCACCAGTGAATTTCAAAACAAAACAACGTTTGGGATATTTTCGGCGCCATAGCATAGTGCTAACCAGCTATTTGCGTAAGGAGGTCAATGGACAAGCCAAGTGTTAATGAAAAATAACGTACACAATATATGAAACACATCACTGCGTTTTAAGTATACGACAATGCTATTATCTCTTGGGGGAGCTCGGTTCGGGTTATTTGCTCTATAGTATGCGTTTGTTGATGTGTATTATTGCTAAGGTCTTTGTATGGGAAAAGTTTCACGCTGAATCGCGATAGCGCACTAGGAATGTAAGCTAAACCCAAAATCAACTTACCATCACATAATGTCGCTGCATTTCAGTCTTTTCGTTCGCCAATTTTTCACACTCCAGTTTTAAACTAAACAAGGATACACGCATACATAAATACGGTGATGAAAAGCGGCTGATAGGATTAATTTCATAGGGCGTCGCACTGAGAGAGCTAACCGACACACGCAGAATGAAAGCAACAAAGACATTCACGTAATCAATACATATTCAGACAGACAAGCCACAAGAATTTAAGACTTAGGGAGTTCAAAGCATATAAATTCGCTTAATTTGCCTCTGATGTGGCATTTGGATGACTTAGGCGTATTAAAAGGTCTCGATTCATTAAGTGAGAGTTGACATGTAAAATGCAGTTATAAGCACGAGAATAGCTAGCTGATAGACGAAGATGCCCTGTCATGCGATTTATTTCAATAGATGAATAGGACTATAAAATTATATAAACATATATTTCAAGAACCACTACCTTAATATAACAAAGATTTAGGTAATAAAAAGCTAGTCGCAAATGATCAAAGGCATAAAGATTCGAAATGTTTTTAGAATAAAGTATTCGATCGAACTTTTAAGGGAATGAGGGCGTTCTTTCGAATGTTTAATGTGTTCCGTCGAACGTTTTGAGTTGTTCTATAGAATTACCGTAGAAAATCGAATATGTTTAAAATCCAAGACTGTAGATACAAACTATATATCAAGCTCTAAAATTTACTCCTGCTTTTAGGACAGTTTGGGAAGGGAAATCTACAGCGAGCCTACGAGGTATATATATTAAAACACGTAAATGTTTATTCCTATATTCCATTACGACGGGCTATTACATTCCTTGTTACCAATTGAAAAATACCTTTATGCCATTAGCAAGTCGAGGCTGTCGAGCGCTGACATATTCATAAATTACAAGTAACGAAGACGACTATAATAGAAGCCCAAAAGTATTGCGCTCGAGATTTTGAAACACTCCTTTATTACCTGTGGTATTGGGCCTGTAAGAAATTGAATTCTTCCTTTATACGATCACAGGATTCGGTGACTGTGAATTTGAACGGCTGACCAGAAGGCGTATGAGGCGTCTAAGAACGAAAGGACATCGTATTAAATACACCTCGCGTCGAAGTAGCGACAAAAGCCGCATTCGATATCGTGCAGCGATGTTCGCGAACATACTAAATTGATACATATATATGTTTTAAGAACGCTGCGCTTACCGTATGTCGATTTGGTGTATACATAGCGAATGTTTGACAGTAAAATCTTTAGATACTCCTTTGAAATTGACTTTGCTGATCTTTGATAACAAGAAGGAATAAGTAACCAATCTTTTAGTTTTAATCCATCAACAACAGTCCACAGAATTTCAATATTTCTAACAATACTGTGAAGTGAATACACACGCTTTGTAGATTTCCCCAATCGTCGTTCTTTCAGGAACAAAATCCTTTGTTTGTCGTGCGAGTTTTAGGTTGATTCGAAGCAAATTGCGTGTATTTGCTCGGTTTTGAAACGCTGTGAGGAAAACAGTGACCGCAACACAATACGGATAAGCAAAAACTGACAGGACACAAGGCACGCGGCGAACTCTAGCGACATAACACCCTCAACTCTGTGCCATATATGGAAAGTGTTTAATCTATATTTATTGGCCCTGTAGTCAAAACCAATCAAACATGTCCAGTATTACGCGAAGATCGAAAATATCCCACGTGGGGCACTCTCTTGGGGAAAAGCATGCACCAATCAGAGCGAGCGAATTCCCGCGAAACACCTGTAGTTCCAGCGTTAATGAGATCAAAGTGTCATCCTGTATTTAATGACCTGAACTGTCACTCAAACACACGTGGGATAGGAGAGACAATACCATTGGTTCACGCCTCTTACTTAGATACAAAATACTAAAGAGACCGAGTGCGTCTATTTTAACACTTATGAAAACAATACTCATCAACAGTTGTTAGAAGCGAGCCAATAAAACGCGGCAATGTTTGAGCAATTTCATCGCATCAATGTTTGAGCAATTTCATCGGCAAGGGGTTGTTTAAACGCTTCAAATCCACGGTGGTCCTACATGCTCAAGGGGACAGCACATTTGCGCGAAGATCAGCTGGATTCTTTCTCACTTGAGTTATGATTATACGCCAAATATCCAACATTTGTTGCTCGAGTGGGATTACACCTTTCGTTAAGCAAATCTTTTAACAATATTTACTGTCATTCATTTTCGACGGAAAACGAAAAAATCGCGGCATCGGAAGGGCATATGCACCAAAATTTTAGAAGATTCTACCGAATTTTCGTTCTTTTCAACGTTCATGGTGTTCGAATTTTCCAATTAGAACTCCGGAATCGTTCTTCAGAACTTAAACGAGGTTCTTTCGAATTCAAAAAGTGTTCCAGCTTCAGACTTTTGCCAAGAATTCTAATTTCAATCACGTTCTGGTTTTGCTAACAATCAGTTAGTTATCATGCGGTTCTTTTTAGCACTTGTCGGCCATGATAAATAAAAGACGTATTAAAAGGAAGCTTGTTTAAGTGCCCTAAGAGGTTTCGAGAAGCGAAAGGAATACCTCACAATCTTCCTTGTTTCTGGCGCCTGCTTGCCTAAACGGCTTCTTCAATTGGGAATAAAAGAAAGTGATTAATTAAAACCAGTTGTTGGCACAAACGTGCGCGATTGGGTTTCTGTTTGCGTTCTTTTGTAAAGAAATCAACTTCAAGAGAGATTTCTTGCTTGATTACCCAAAATAAACTCAGTGTAATAAAGGAAGAATTTACGTTTATTCTAATAGCACACTTTACCGCTGTTTACATAGTAAACCCAAATGTCGCTGCGCTGAAATTCACTTCTCAAATTTGTCGTTTCGGTGAAGCCAAATTTGTAATTTTGTGTGCTCAGGGGAAACACGTTTGTTGAATCAATAATGAAATTTGGTCTGCTGCTGCGCGCATGACAATGTAACTACATATTGAAACAGGTTTCTTTCATCAAATTTAAACTGAACTGAAATGTGTGGTGCGCACCCCTTATATCATATAGTGAATAAATATGCTTATAGTTACAGCAAACACTTTAAAAAGACTGAAAGAGTGATATTAAACAGTCTTAAAAAATATTAATTCGATTTGAGTTTTTTATGTGAATAAAACAAAAGCTTTCTTTCAACTGTATCGTATCGGATAAAAAACTAATCTTTAAAATATAATGCATTGTGAAAGTTCTGAAAATATCGCATATTACAGTGCATGGTTTATTCTTCAACACTCAAGTCTTCAAATCAGTTTTGTATTTTGTGTTTTCGATGTGGTTTAATCTTAATAACCCACCAGAAAAACATCTGTATTTACGCAAGCCGCCACTATATTATGATAAGGCTTTCATATTTACACTGCTTGATGAAGGAAAGCAAATGAAAAAAGCTACTCCGGTCTGGCAATGTGTGCACAGTGCCAAAAGCCGGATTGCGTCGGTCAATAACGTTTAATATTAATGTTCCTTATATATGCTAACCTGTCCTAATATTGACACAACAAGGCTGGCTCATATATTGATTACACAAAAATATAATTTGTCTTTTAAAATCTTTGCGGCTTTGCAAATAGACGGTTTAATTTGCGATTTACTCTGCACGCTGTACCCATCGTACTTATATACAATGGTGCGTAAATAAAAATAGGGTAATTGCAACATTTGGACGAAATACATTCGAAATCGTTTTGAAATTTTATTATTTCGCCACAAATCTTCTATCATTGTTCCATAAATACAAAAGCTGGTCGTTATTAATATTTAATGCTCTTCACAGGCTTAATGGCGGGTTACGAAACCACAACTGCTAAATATTGTTTGGGGTTTGTCAATTTATTATGTACGCAATGTAATACGCGGTTAACGTGGTCAATGTTATCTACACATAGCGACCACAAATAAAATGATTTGCCCTTGAATGTCTGAGCAAATACCAGTTTGTAAGCCTTGTTAAATATAGAAATCGTTAGAAGTCCGAAAAGTACAGATATCATCTGTACATAATAAGCCATGTAACTGTTTTATGCATGGCCGGATTCTGTTCAACAGTGCGTGAGAATAAAAATCTCTGATATACTGTAAACACCAGATATCGCCACCCACCAGATTTTTTGCAAGCATTTTTGGGGAGAGAGTTAACAAGATCAAAAACCAAAAACAAAGTATTTAAAGATTTTTATAATTTTATTGGCTTTGATGTTGTTCTAGAAAGCCAACATCATCCAACAGATTAGAATTCCAATTCTTTTGCGGATTTTTCATTAGATTATAATTTTAATCACTTTGGAGGGTTTATTTACGTATATATACTGTAGGGTTTTCCGGAATTGCAGATTTTAATAATCACGCTGAAAGTCGTAAGTCTTTTTTAGGCTTATCGCATGCAAGATTTGATTCGCTTCGAGTGTTTTCGACCAATCAGAAGGCTGGAGAGTTTGTTCTAATTATATTAACTGACCAATCACAATGCCCTAGACCTTCCATTAGAATTGTATATAAACTTAAAATAAATATAACAATCCATATCTAAATTTGTTCTAATTAGATTTTCGATGTCATTAGAATACTCCAGAGTTGTTCTAATTGGATTCAAACATTCGATACGAATGAAAAGATTTTATTATGATGAGTGACAAGATCAGCCTGGTCTACACATGACAGTGATTTGAAATAATATTCTGGAATAATCTAGTTCTTGTCAAGACTGTTCGTGATATTCTCACGGCACACTTCGTGTGTTCAGTGAATAAGAAAATTATTTCCGATTGAGGATTTTACTCTTCAACGATCATTGATTCAGGACCACACGACTGAATCACAAATTAAATTATATAGGTAGGTTTCACTCTATCGACCAGCAATCCTACACCAAAAGGCGTTTACTCGGCATATTTGCACGACGTTTTTGCTGACAACATGTATATGAAAATTGCAAACTGTTGAAAATACCATATATAATATACCGAAATACCGTCTTTAAATCTATATGTTAGAACTATTGTTGTCTTTCTTGGGTTGGATTTAATATGGGATTCTTGTCCTGTTGACTATACCTTCAACCTTATTCCTTTCCTTCCTCTATAGTCTATATGTGTATATTCTTAAATTTAATATCTATTTAATTGTTCCTGTATAAAAGGTTGTAAAGTTAATAAATAAATAAAATGTGAAAGCACTCAACCTCGTACCAAGGGTGCGCAGAAGCCCCTGAGTACGAGGTTGGAAAGTATTGGGAAATAGCCAATGGAATCCCAGTCTTCTCGTGTCAAAAAGCACTGAAGTAGAAGCTCTAGGTATTTGGTTGCAGATAGGGGGAATTGAGAGATTTTGTCACATTTCCTTGCTCCTATAATAAGAAGTTTCCAACCATTTGTTGCTCTGGTACACGACTGACAATACATAGTGATGACTGATGAACTTTGGAAGTGTTGACGCGTATTAGAGCAAGCAAATGAAACGAAATCTCTCAATTCCACTTGTTGGTTTCCTAAGAAGACTACTACATAGAATGACACAGAAATTTAAAAAATCATGGGAAAATGAAGAAAATTCGGGCAAATATAACACAAAATACGTTAAATTTTGGTCATTTCATTTCTATATTTGACAAAAATTCGGGCAAACTTTCAAGTGCCCCCCCGGAAGGTATCAGGCCCGTACGCTTTATATGGATAGAGCAAATCTACCTGCACCAAGAATTTTGTTCCAGTTTTAAACAACGAATTCAGAATCATAATTCCAGTCACAAGCCATCACTCCAGGTCCATAACTCTGGGTCTTATTAAAGCTAAATCATCATCATCATCGCGGTCAACAAGCAATCGATCGAAAACAAATGTCGTATATTTGGCGAGCAAATTCCGCAGTAAAGCGATAAAAGAAAATATAATTACATCTTATCATTTTCATCGGACTTGAGGTTATTTTTGAAGTGATAGATAACAAGACGTTATTCGTTACTTTGAGCTTGTCATCAGATTATGCGATCATCTTTTTTTACAGACCACAGACCCACTGCGTCGCGCGCGAATAAATTGCGGTTTTGCGTGAGGTTTTGCGTCGCACGTATGCGGATGAAACGTGAAATGCCGCTTTTCCATTCCAACCGAAACGTAGCGCAGTTTTTTGAACATCGCGGTAGAACTAATAACATAGACACAAAAAAATCTACAGAATGTCACGATAGGATTGTAGTGGAAAACAGACTTC